TGTGTGTTGCAAGATTTCAAAGAGCAATTCTGATCAAAGTGATGCCACACAATGTAGGAATCCTTGCTCTTCCATGAAACTCTGGTATAATTATAATGTCATGCCTTCTGACATCATCAAAGAGTCTTTAATTTTGTGTCCCATGACAGAATTTGCTCAATGGCATTTTTGCAAGAGGCAGGAATGCATTCATTCAGCGCTGTGGTTAATTGCATATTGAATATCTGAAACAAATGCTTTAAGGTGTTTAGGTAAAATCAATTTTACTCTTTAGTTGTGTTTGTTATCAGGTGTTTTACAAAAGGGTGTGTGGCGTCCTGAGCAGGGACACAGGCCTCTGAGGACGGCAGGTTATTCTGTTTGTTTGTGATCACACAGGATGTAGTGGACGGCTCCTTTCCAGTAGTTCCTTTATTTGTAGTCAACAGTTTGCATGCTGCTAATGCACCCTACAAATGATGCAAATGATACCAGGTACCAAATATTATAGATGGTACTCAGCATCATCTGCTTTTCTTACCGCATTGTCCAGATGGATAGACTGAGAGGAAGACAGTCGGTGGTGGTGATGGCAAAGTTACTTGGAAACAACAGTCTTGGAGGAGAAGCTAGTGGAAGCTGTCGCTTTATTTAAATAATGTTGAAATCTAGCTCACCTGTTTATGCGAGTGTCCCACATACAGCGGCAGAGTCCTCCTGCTGTGGCTGCAGGTTCTGCTCTGATCCGGCCCTTTGCTGCATGTCCTGTGAAGTGCCCAAAAAACAACTGCAGTTAAGAATGTAAAAACATGTGAGTTCATGTCACAACGAGATTTGAGTTCAGCTACAGACAGGTAGTTGTCTATCCAACCTTTCATCCATCCATAACCCCCCATTATCCTTGAGGTACATGGGGAGCTGTAGCCAATGTTTCAAAGTGGGATCTGTCGGAATTTTAGCCTGTGAACATTTCTGGGTACAAGAACAACAAAGCATGGAGTTACTTCTGTTACCGCTACAGATATGACAGGAAGAAATAACAGTAATGCATGATGTTATGAACTGTTATGGTGCCTGTAGGTCAGTTCACATCTCAGTGGAGGTCAGCCTCAGCTCAGATCGGAGCCCTGCAGCTGATCAGGATCCAGTGATTCAGTGTCTTGCTCATCGTCAGCAGCGTGCAGCCCTGCTGATGTGAGGGTTTCAACCAGGGCCGTGCAGTTGAAGGTTGCTGCACATGACGACCTCCCAAGTGCTTGTATATGAGCTCTGACTTATGATGAATTAACGCCACACTAAAGGAAACGCTTTGATTTCGATGTGGTTATTTCTTTCCATGCACGTCATCGATGGGTAACACACTTTCTACCCTTCAGGGTGCAGTATTTGTCCAAATGTGTACAAGTGTCATTTCGTGGTTTACAGCGGTTGTTGCAGTGGTTACAGTGTTTTTCACTCTGAAAGCAAACACCAGCTATTAACTGTCCTTGCGTTGTGTTGTGCCACGTCCTCACTGGACAGAAGAGGAAATATGCTTTAATGAGACTGGATCCCAGAGTGTGATGACATTTGTCTTCTGCATCCTGGATGTGAAAAGTTGAGGAAACCTTGGCAACAACACAGAAGTGCTTTATCTCCCTGACGGCTTTTTCATGTATTATTTGTTCCAGTGGAGCACACCTGCACCTGTAGCTAAACAAGTGGTTTGAGACTCTGTTCACAGTGAATGCTGTATAAGCCTTGGATTTCTGTCTGAAAGGAGCAAGCAGCAAGCTTTCTTCTATGAATAGGATTAAATAATGAATTTTGTAATAGTCATATCACAAATATCCTGATAATTGATCATTTAATGAACTCATTGATGCAGTGTTGTTTCACTGTGTGTGTGATTGCATGTGGTTATTCACATAAACACACTGCAGATGGTGTGGGTGGGAGTGCAGGGAGGGGATTCTGCCCCCTTTATTGACAGCAACACACATCAGGAGGAGGGCTGGTCCTGTGGCTGACACACACACATACACACTCCATGACTTCAGAGGACATTCCATTGATTACGTAGAGACTCACTCTAACCTTTACTAACCCTTACTCTAACTCTGAACTAAAAACATGACACAATGTAATGACTGACTGATAACGTTACTTGAACCATTTGCTCAGTTCTCTGACCGATCTAAGACTTTTCGTAAATGCTGATGAAATGAAGTTCCTGCCTTTTTCCAGAGCTAAACTTGACCGAGATTTCTATGATTGATAGTCACAGAATCTAAATATCTCAGCATGTTAATGAAAACCTCTCATTCAATCAAATCCATCTTATTTCCCATCCAGATTCTGTGGAAAAGAGGAGCTGAGGCAGTTTTCATGTCAGTCCTGGATGATGGGGATGTGATTTATAGACATGGATCTTTTCCTCTCTTACTCCACTGAGCTCTCTGTCTATCATTCTGACTTGAGAATTATTACTGGTGATGCCTATATGCTCCACACCACTGTGTTTTGAGTAAGTTTGAGTAGTCGTCTCCTCATAAAAGACTTGTATCTATTATCTATAAAGCCTTCTGTTCCACGAGGCAGCTCTGAACTTTTAAAAAAGAGTTCTTTTAACATGCTGCAACCAAATACAGACCCTCCCTGCAAATGGATACAGTCATACATTTTGTATATTATAGAAAACAAACCACCCAACGTTTACTTGCAATTGTTTTATACTAGTGCAGTGACAGTTCTACACACGTCTGGTGGGAATGGGCTGTTTGTTTGGCCTGTGCTGATGCTGACCTGCAGTTTCTGAGCTGCTGGACTCTGTAGAACCCTCACACCCAGGCCCAGCCGGGTGTGTATGCAGGCTGTGGTGGCTGCGTCTGTTCACACAGGGAGCGTGTCTGCTGCAGAGTGAATGACTTCTGTATTTCCTCTTATTTAAGAAGACAGTGGACTCAACTAAATGCGAGGGCTCTACAGTGAGACGCTGTGCATCTTCTTGTCCTGCAATAATGATACAAACTCTGTCAAAACAAATGAATGGATTCAGTCAGGAGTAACACTGGAGTGATTTACATTGAAACGGGTTCAGGACGTGTTGCCAATATTTTTGTTTGTGTCATATTCAACTGATAAACATTGGAACTGTGGTTTGAAATCACATCTATTTTCCTCTGAATGGTCGGACAGAATAGGTAAGAGCCCTGACACTTGGGTTTCACTCTGTCCATGTGGCTACTCTAACTTGATATCATGGGCGCCGAAATGAAAAGCCACTGCTGCTGCATGAAGACTCGTTCAGCTGCTGCCTGAAGCTCTGCTCAGTACGTAGAGCCCCAAACTGGCCAATCTGATGTCATGATGAACATCTCCGATGTTTGATGAGTCCCAGCTGCCACTGCTACAGGGCTGTGGTTGCCTGTTGATTAAACGTTTATCAATATTAAAGGTGCCGCGTGTCCAAATTGCAGCAAATTTGGAGCTGCACCTAACAATACACATGCCAAGTGTTAAACTTATAGTCATTTTAATGACCCAATAAATCAATGCTCATGTATTTGCCATACACACTTTCTCCCTGTCTTTTTTTCATCCTCCTCTTTCTCTTAATAATTTCACACATCATTCCTCTGCTTCCTTTAATTCTGTGCTGTCGTCTTTCTCTCTCCCACCCCCCTCTGTCTAACATTCCTCTGGGTTGTAACGTCCCAGTTCTGTTGTTTGTCAATGACGTATTCAAAGAGAAATCATGTATAAAAAAACCACAGATTAAATAATCTGTTTCACTGTTATCCCAGCATGCCTCTCTTTCTTTTCTCTTTCTTTTCTCTCTCCTTGTCTTCTCTCCTTCCTGCCGCCCCCCCCCCCTCCTCCCCTCCCTCTGCCTCACTGTGCCTCTCCAGTTCACCCTTCAGCACGTCTACCAGTGTGTGGAGCATATCCTTAGTTGACTTAACACGGTCTGACAGGCCAATCCCTATGGATTCTGATCAAATAGAGCAATAGTGTACACAGCAGCAACAGTGCAGCGGCAGCCTGCTAAAACAGCAGCCGTAATATGGCAGAGATCAGCGTCCTGCAGAACTGATTCCACACGTTTATCCACTGATTCCACTTTGTTACAAAAACTTTAAAATAAGAGGTCGGGCGAATATCAAGCTCACAATGTGTGAGTAACAGGTAACACATGAGCACACAGCAGAGTTTGCTCTTATCACTGCACGTTCCACATTTCATTAGTTCATTCTGAATATTTGATGTTAACTGATGTTAATGAAATAATTTTCCAAGGAAGGATTTTTAGATTAATGGTATTCTCACCTTTCATGCAGCCATTGTAATCACCTTGCAAACTACACTGTTGTGTTATGGTCATGCAGTTATAAGTAAATGCTGCAGTCGAGGATGCTCTGACACCTGATAGCTACAATAACGTTAATCCACATTTCCCAAAATTCAGTTTTAAGAGATAACTCTTGGACATTGAGAAAATCAGTATTTTTGTTTGCTATAATGATGGTGCTCACAACAATTTGATGGAGGTTTACTTGATGAATTGCTGTATTTTATATGCTTTATGTCTCCATATATATTGAATCTATATCTGAAAGTTTTCTCTTCAGCTGAACATGGTTTATTTCCTGCAGTGGGTGGTGAAATAGAAATAACAGAAAACATGTATGTGATGATTGGGAAAGAGAGCACAGAATATTGTAAAGCATTTGTGTAGATATGTGTACTGTGGATATTAGGTACGATATAAGGACAAGATTCTAATACAAGGACTTCAAGGTTCAGTGGGTTAGGTTTTTTTTTTTTTTTTTGGGAAGTTGCATGTTGCAGCTGAATACCCCTCACGTCATGCTCATGTTTCAAACATGAAGGAGAACCTGTGGCAGCCTTCAGTTGTCAGAAAAACTCAAAAGGTGTTTAGTTTGTCCAGTCTGGGCTACTGTAAAAAAAACATGGCTGTCTCTGTAGTTAAATCTCATACTGCCAGAGTGTCCCTGAATGCACCAGCAGGAAGAGTTTTCCCATCAGTCCTAAAAAGCTGCATGGTCGAACAAGAGAAATTGAATTTAGACATGAAACTTTCAGCTTAATGGATGAAGAAACAGAAACCTGAAGCAGGTGTGTCTACAGGTGGAAGTCCACACTACAGTTTGCCTGGAAGGTAGGAGACCAAACTCGTGCTTTGAAAATGTTTGGGGTCAAACATGGATTGCAATTTGAAAGTGTGACAGACGGTTCCTTTCTGAAATGTTTAAGCTTGTTATGTTTGTGTCACATGTTGAAAACAGCTTGTTCTAGAAGAGTAGTGATTCATCCACTTTTCTTTCCTGATGACTCATGAGAGAATGTACCTGCTGAGATCAGACTGTTGGCTTGAGATGGCACATGGTGGACCGCCTCTTTGTTGGATTGTCTTAATGTTTCTGAGCTTTCTGAGTCTTGGCTGCAAAGTCTTGAGTTGTGATTACCTGTATTTCTGCTGGTTTGAATGTGTGAATGCACAGCCCTGCTAGCTCATGCAATATGAGGGTCAGCTGCTGGTTTTATTTCAACTCTGTGTCCACATGCTCATCAGAAGGCCCCAGGTTCTCAGTTGTGAAGTTGTTGTTCTGACTTTGGTGGGTTTGTGTACTTTTAAAGCCAGAATATGGAAAAACCATGGACGCTGTGTATAAAATGTTTTAACAACACCTCAGAATGGCAAAGATACCGTACATGCTGAAGGGCTACCAAGGCTATTTGTAAAAGAGTAAATTGTTGTGCCCTATGTGCTTGGGTGGTGGTGGTGCAGGTTGTGGGCCTGTGGCACTGTATCTATGTCCTTTTCAATCAAGTCATACTGCTGAAAGTAATTCTGTTTGCTTTTGGCCTCTGTGCCTCCTGTTTCATATTTGTGTGTTTGTTGTATATTTCTATTTATTTTCTTTTTTCATCTTTTTACTATTTTACTTGAATCCTTGCTTCCTCTTAATTGCTGTTAATTTTCCTGAAGTGGTTGATGCCATTGGTTTGTACAATGCACTTTTTTTTAATCATACATATTTTCTTTGGTTTCTTTCAAAAGGAAAAAAACCTATACTGACACTTCTTTCCAATAAGATAACGAAGAGTGAACAATAAATCATTCCAAGTGAACACATTGAAGTCAATGTGATGCCAAGAGTCATTCAATGTGAGCTCCAAGTTTATTTTGACGTCACTTGGTTAAATGCTGCTTCTTGAACTGGCCACATTCATTTATGTGCCAGTGCTCTATCTTAAGGCACAATATTTGTTAAATTCTGATTTTTAGTATACTGTACTGTTTATTGAAACTTTTTTATTTAGTCACAAATCATTACATGTGTAACTGCTGTGAGTCACTTGTGTCTATGCTGAAATGAAATGTAATACCTGAGCAGAACATGGCTCCACTTGCTGTGCAGACCTCACATACATTTCAGTGAGTGGTGTCAAGGCTCACCGCTGATCAAAGACAACTATTAATTAAAATCAGCGGTGATTGTACTGTACATTTCACAGCCAGTTCAAATGGCATCGAGTCAACGGAGGGCTAATTAAAGTCAACAGGCACGACAGTCACAGCGAGCGCCAGTGTTGGTGCATAAGAGCTCAAACTCTCAGTGTGAAAAGACTATTTTAACTTAAGTGGATAAGTAGAGTTTTCATTACTTTTGATTAATTGACCTCATGATTTTAGGATTTGGCCCTTAAAATGTACCAGAATTGACTGCTTTTTAATTATAATTCATTCTTTTTGCCATG